ACATAGATATATACCAAAGGAAGGAGTATTGGTCAATTGCTTTAAAGCTATTATGTTATATGAGATGAAAATGTATTAAACTTAAATTAATATGTTAGATAATAATTATAATTTTCATAAATAATAATTTTTATACAAAAAGTATACAAAAATTTGGCAATTACTAACAATAGTAGAGATATTTTGAGCACTTATAGTGTGATATTTAGTTGTAAATTAAATATCGGACGATAAAAATTAATTTTAAAATTTTATGTTTAGCATAAAACAACTTTGAGCACGAAAAAGCTCTTCATACGATTTCTGTATATAAAAACTTCTCATCTTTCATTTTTTAATTTTTACAAACATTACAGTATGTATAAATATGTAATGTACATACATATATATTATAATAATTTTTTATATTTGATTTTGTTCAAAAATTGACCTAATTCTTTAGAAGCAATTTTTCAAAAACAAAAAGTAAAAAAAAAATTGAAATTAAGAACAAAATCAAAGCTATCAATTTTCCACCAAAATGTGAGGAGGTAAGGGAGGTGGCAAAATTTCAAACCAAATATGTAATCTACAAAATTGAAAATTTATCATACTAAAAAATTAATAATGGGTATTTGCACGTATCTGTATGCTTGTATAAGTGTGTACTGTGCAAGTACAGAGTTTTCTTTTTTCTTTTTATACAAATTTACCTTATGATATAATTTTTCATTTATGTTATGTCCCTTTTTTTTTCCTTTGCTATTCTTATTGTATTGAAACCAACATACATACATCCCTAGTATGCTCATACAATTTTAGTTTTTGTTAATATTGCTATCGCCGCACCTTACCTATAAAAAAGAAATTTTTCCCAATAAAATAAATTTTTCTTTTTTCTTTAAATTCTTTTGCTTTCTTTTATGATTGTATGCGTATATTTTTAGCATACATATATAAAAATTTAAAACTAACACAAGCTTATATTTTGTATACGCGTGTGTGGTTCGCGTATACCACATTCAAAATTATAAAATTTTTTTTGGAAAAATTTCTTTTTATGGTTAAAATTTTCTTTATAAACACACAATAATTTTGTGTACATATATGTATGTATGTGTGTATTAAATTTGTAATAATGAAAATATAACACTTGTATATTGAAAAAATCAATAAGGAACATGAACTCTGGCTGCTCTGTTGCTGCTGCAAAAATTTTTTTTGTTTTTATTTTTTTTTTATTTGCAGTAATTTCAGTTTTGTTCCAATTTCTTGAAGTACCTATTCAAAACTTTTATTTAATTTTTTGTTTTTATTTGGGAATTATGAAAATGAAATAAGAGTGTCCTTTGGATTTTTTCTTCTTTTTTGTGTTTCATGTTAAATTGTACGGTTGTATTGGCCTTTCCCAAAATTTGTGCAACTGTTTCACAAAAATGAAATAGGTTTTTTATCAAAAGTAAAAGAGAGAGTGAGAGAGAGTATAAAAGATGAGAGTAGAAACATTCAAAAAATAATATTTAAATGAAACAGAAACGGAAATTTACGAGTTTTTTTTTTGACGAGCATGCGTATTTCTGAGAATAATTAGTTAAAAAGAAGTATTTTTTTATTTAACCATTTTTGATTAGTATCTGGTAATACTGTCCAACGTAATCATATAAATATTCTATACAATAGGATAGAATATTATTAGAACACATAAAAATGAGATGAAATAAATTATTTTAATTTAATTTAAATTTTTGGTTCCTATACCCACAAGTATAATGTATCCGTTTGCGTATATATATATATATATATATATATATATATTTATGTAAAAAATTTTTTATATTTTTAATATTCTAATTGATTTTAATTAGAAGGACAATTTTTATGTAAAATTAATAGCTTCTTTCTTAGAGCATAGTGAAGTAATAAGTATAAAAATTTGGTCAAATATAACACTTTAAAAGATTCAATTTAAAACTATAAAGATATTCGATAAATCATTATTCGACTGTTAATTTTTTATCATATTAAAATATTTAAGAACATCCTTTGTATATTTTATATTTACAAATACATAAATAAATTTACAATCCTGATAAAAATTCATTATTAGACTTTATTGAATTGTTGCCAACTCATTAACTCGTTTTCAATAAAAAATTTAAAATAATCAACGACTTATCTTACTTTGTAATCATCTTGCTTTTTTTATAATCGGTTTGAAATGTAGCCAATTATTTTTTCAAATCACATTTCTATTAAAATTATTCAATTAAATTAAAAAAAAAAATCTGAAGTTAATCCAACCGATGCAAATTTTTATCCGTTTTTTATTCATTTTTTTGCTTGAATAATTTTAACACGGAGTTGGTTTAAGTCTTGTATAGGTCTATATTTTTCGAAACACGCTGATTACTAATGTAGTTAAAAATTTGACATAATAATTAGTTTTTTAAAAATTTTCAATCAATTTTAATTTTATTTCATTAAATAAAAATATGAAAATTAATTTTGTTTTGGTAAGGAGTTGGATGTTCCAAAAAGTCTTATTCATCTGCGAATTTCGATTTGGGAGTCCATCTAGAAAATTTTATTATATATTTATGTATATATGTGTATAACTATGGAAAACTATATAAAATTTTTACATCTTAAATTTGCCTCTGGTAGGATCTTCAAATTCTAGAACTAAGTTAATTAAAATAAGGTTTCGTATTTTTGTTTATTATGATTTTTTGAATTAAATTAATAACATATTATTTAAATACCATCAAAAATGAATTTAAAAATAGCTTGATTTACTTTTATTTAAAAAATTTCTTCAAAATTTTTCAACTATCTTTCTTTCACTAAACAATACAAATTTTTAGTGTTCAATTTGTTCCAGTGATATTCAAACTTTATTTTAAACTACAATGAAATATATATGTATTCATTATTTATTGCAAAATTTCAACCCCTAAATTATTTTAATACCTTCATACAATAAACAATACAAAGAAAATATAAATTAATAAATGAATGGCTTGAACATAATGTGAGTATATGAAGTTATGTATGTATACGTATATTTATGTATATATAACGGCGCATAATTTATCAGACTAACAAAACATATTTTACTAACACGAGACATTATATTTCATAGAAATAAATTCAATGAATATCCTGAATTTTATTTTATAAAAAAAAATTTTGAAAAATATAATAATAAAATGTGTAAAAACGAAAATTGTAAAACTTACTCTTACACGCATTTTCGAACAAAAGAATTTTTTATTTTGATCCTCATATAAATATGTGCATGTGTAGATGTATATTCGTGTAATTATGTTATGTATAGGTAGGAACACTTCAAGTTTAAAATTAGTGCGGGAAAAATTTGTATATTGTTTTGTAACCTAAGGTAACTGCTACGCCTTCTCTACGGCTTAAACAGTATTACTCTCTACTTAAACAGTATTTATGATTCCATAAGATTTTAGCAGTTGCGATATGTACTGTATTGATTGACCGTATTTGCGGGCATATCTACAGTTTAATTTACGAACATCGAGTATGCGTTAACTAAAAATTGGTATTAGTTTGTAAAAAACAACAAATTGTTTGATTGTTTAATTGCATGCTTTCATACAGTTGGATGTATGTGCCTGAAATGTAATTCTAGATAAAACAGAAGAATAAGTATTGGTAGTGTTTTCTTGAATTTCCTAATTTTAATATATTCGGTTAAAATCGGGTTTACCGTCAATAATTTTATTAATATTTCATGCATACACAAGTATAGTAGAACAACTTAAGCTTGAAAATTTTATACACAAAAACATTTTCTTAATTTATCCCATCCTAATAAAATATTATACTTTCAATTTAAATGAAATAATTGCAGTTTACTATAGAATAATATACACATATATATCAAAAGCAATGAACACATGCACAATATATACAACATATATAAATACAAATGTGTATAAATTTACTTTATAATACAAACCTGATGTTTAGATGCGCAGATGTTTTTATTTTATTTTATTTCGCCTCGATCATTCTTTTCTTCCTGAGCACCACAAAAAAAAAGGATCTTTTATTATTTTAAACCTTCTCTTTTGGTCTTTTAGTTAAAAAAGAAAAGTAAAAAAAAAATAACTCTCTTTCAAACCACTTTTTGTTTGTATTTTTCACCAGAGTTGGTAAACTTATTGTAAAATTGTTCAAGTACAATTTCGAATAAAACTGATTTGCATAGAACTATTTTTGAATAGAAATTTTAGTAATAGGAAGAAAAACCATATATTAAATTTGAAAAAAATGTTAATTGAATTATTTAAAATAACCAAATTAAAATATTAAATATAGTAATAAAAAAATTCATGACAACATTTTATACTTTATACTTTAGCACAATTGTCAACTTTGCTTTACTACAAGTACAATTTCCCATAATTAACCCATCCCTGTTTTATATGTTTGAGACATTTATGATATTTCTCTCAAAATTTGTTGTAAATGTAGTAAACAATATCATGTTTTTTGAATTCCGTCGCTCATTTCCTCTCTCCCGCTTCTTTAATATGTCGCATTATAAAGAGAAAGAACATTATGTTTCGATCATTACTGTAATGAAACATAAATTTTAGTAATGTTTATCACTTAGACCTGTTGATTTGGATTTATTATCTTTTTTTTAACTATTTTACTTAATAAAATTTATTTCTAAACACAAAATATAAATTTTTATATTTTAAAAATTATTAAAATATTTATTAAAAAAATATAGTGAACACTAAAATATTCTTGTGATATTAAAATTTTTAATATATTTTTATAAAAATTTTTCGAAAAATAAAAAAGAAATCATAGTGTTAAACAGATCAAATATTTTTTTCTAAAAAAAAAATAATTAAAGCATAAAAAGACAATTTTTAAATAATTACTAAGAACAATAATAAAAACAAAATAAAAAATACGAAAATGTTAAAAAATTTAAAAATTAAAGATGATATTATTTATTTTTCTCATCATAGCAATCCAATTGAGAATGGTGCTTTGATTGATGTTAATCAGCATAGTCGTGAATTACATAATGCACTAGTTGCAACAATTAATAATAATGCAGTAGCCGCTGTACAACAACAGCAACAACAACAAGTACAGCAACAAACACAACAACAACAGCAGCAACAACAACAACAATCACAACAACAAAAACAACAACAACAGCAGCAGCAGCAACAACAACAGCAACAAAATCAAAATAGTGGAACTGGAGGTGGAGGTGGCACCGTAAATGTTGGTATAGTAAATACAAATGGTGTTGTTGCAACAACAGGACAATTAAATGGTAAAGCAAATTCATTATCAGGATCATCGGGTCGTTCAACACCAAATAATATTGATGCACCTGGAAAACTTTTTGTTGGTGGCTTAAGTTGGCAAACATCAGCCGAAAAATTAAAAGAATATTTCAATTTATTTGGCACAGTAACAGATGTTTTAATAATGAAGGATCCAGTAACACAGGTAAGATGATTACCAAATGGTATTAAAAACTGTTTTTATTTTTTTTTTTATTTTAAAATTATTCTTTTTTCCCTTGTCTTTTTTTTTCCATTATTTTTCTTTTTTTTTTTTTGAAGAAATTTTTATACATTAAATTCTATATGCATTGTTATAATAAATATATATAGGTATATAAGTGTAGGTATAACTATACCTATATACGAGTAAATGTATAGTTATAATATGAATTTGTATATTCCCTTTCTTTTTAAAATTATAAAAGAAAGGTAACTAAAATATAAAAATGAAAAGATTCAAAAACTTCTTATTTTTCGACATTGTTATAATTACATACTTACATATATAGATAGGTTTATGTGTATTTATAACTTTAAGGGAAAAAATATATATATATAAATTCTTAAGAATAGAAATTTATAGTTTACAGAAAACAAAAAAAAAAAATTGAATAGTTTTTAAGTTACGAGTACAAAACAAAATAAAAAAAAATGAAAGACGAAGCATAAAATTATTATTAAAATAAGGAATAAAATTACAAAAAAATATATAAGATATGGCAACAATTAGATTATAGGCCAAAAATAATTTAATAATACCTACCTAAAAACATGCATTATTTTGTCATATCCAATATAGATTAATGATTCTGACTTTTATATTTAATAAGCAGTCTTTTGCAGAATATTAATTGCAACAATTTTTTTTATTTTCAAAATTTTGAATTCTCCTTGTTTTCGAGGATTTTCTATTTAATGAAAAATTTTTTAAGGCATTTTAATGAAATTATTAAGAAAACTAAATTAGGTTTTGCATTATTATTATTCGATATTATGCTTGTCTATATTCAAGATAGAATCATTAATGTTTTTTTTTTTTCTAGAGGTTCTTAGAAGATTTAGGGTTAGAACACTAAGAATTTTTGATTATAAATTTTATTTATTTTTTAATTATTCCTGCACAGCACAAAATTATATATTATTTTTATATTATTAAATGTGATATACCAAACTTATAATATCTTACACAATATTAATTATATTTTATTTCAAATATTAACTATTATTTTTTTTTTTATTTTATTTAAATTATTTTGAGTTTTTAATAATTATTTTTTTTTTTGTTAAATTCAGAAAATAGTATAAGTTTTTTTTGTTTTTGACTTATCAATAAAAATAATTAAAATATAAAGAAAATTTTTAATTCCTTTAACAATAATTTATGATTTTTGATAATTATTATAAAATCAATTAACAAAATAATATATATTCATAATTTAAATCATTAAAAATATCTATCGATAACGATTTATAAATACTTAAAAAATTATTTTAATTTACTCTTATAAAATATTAGACTCTTTTAATATAATTAAGGTGACAAATTGATTTTTAACTACATTTATTATAATGTATATACATATAGCAACTCATTAATGCTGAATAAAGACGCGGGACGGGTAATAATTTTTTTTTTTTTTATTTTGAATAAGAAGAATTCATAAACATTTAAAATCATTTTTAAGGTATAATTATTTATTATATTAATAAAATATTAAATATAAGTAGGAATATTTGGTGAAAATGTCATTTGCATTTTTTACAAAAATATTAAATTATATATACATTTTCGTTTTATGAAAATATATAATGAAAAGTATATAAAATTTATTTCATGATTTAATTTTTATTACTTACTCTATAATGATATAATTTCATTTTTTACATTTAAATATGTAAATGAAATATACAAGGTGATGCAATAAACAGTACAATATTATATTAAATCGTTTATTAGGGCATTCAAAATGGATAATTTTTTTTTTTCAGAGTAGGTGTCAAATCTTAACGGGTTTCGAGATACAAAAATTTTAAAGAATTTATCTTAATGTATTTGTCTATTTTGAATGTCCTAAACAATGATATGTAATATTGTACTCTTTATTGAATCACTCTGTATTATTAATTATATTCTATTATATAAAAAAAAAATTATATAAATGTCTTAATTCTTGCTTGAAGATTAAAAAGAAATCAAACAATTTGTTTTTTCTCTTGTGTTGAATAAAATAACATTTTTATTTTTCTTCTTCAAATCAAGGACACGAATATATTTTCGGCTCTAATGATCATGGATATTACAAAGGGATGATGAATAATGATATTTTTTTGTTCTTTTTGAAAAATATCATATAAATTTTATAAGAAACATATTGATATTTTCAATATTATGTTTATGTTGTGTGATAAAAAATAAAAATGGCAGGCAGGCACAAAATGAATACAAACCTAAAAATCTAATAATAAATAGGTATCTAAAAAGTTTTTATTTTTAATTTTATACAAAAAAGAAAACAAAATAATATTAATAAAATTTGATTTTTTTAAATAAATTAATTAAAAATAAAATACTAAGTATTTATGTACAGAAATGTTTTACAAAATAATTTATTATTAATTAATTGCAGTAATTTTAATTAAAAAGAACTTAGTTTATATATATAATTTAAAATTTGGAATATTGAGATATTTTTAAAAACTCATAAATGATCTTAAAACTTTAACTTTTGAATATAGTAGGTATTTAATAATAATTAAAGATATACTACATTATTATTATTAATATTTAATTATTATAATAAAAATTTTACTAAATATAGGTGTTAAATTTTGTTTTGTTTATTTTTGTTTATTTCTTTTTTTTTTTTTGTTAAAATTTGTCATTAGATTTATTTTTTGTTTTTAAATATTTTGTATTCATATTATTTTTTATTTATTTTATAATTCTAAAAATATTATTCGTTGTTAAAATAACACTCTAAATTTAGAATAAAATTTAGAATAATTTAATTAAAAAATAGTTTAAAATTAATTGAAACACGGTATTGAAGTAATTTTGATATAGAAAAAAATTTGCTTTGCTTTATATACATGTAAATAAACGCTTTAGTTTTCAATATTACTACCGTAACAATTTTAAGTATATATGATAAAATTTTCTTAAAAATATTAATGATCGAGAGTTTTTGTTTTTCGGTATCTAGATTCAGATATTCTTTTGTTATTTATTTATTCCTTATAATGATAAAAGGCTGTTTCATTGGTATCTGCAGAAATCATAAATATCATTGTTCCTGAAGATTGAACCTAAAATAGAACAGAAAATAAATACAAATCCAAAATAAAACAAGAAGATACTATTGTAAATTTTAAGAACTCGGTGTAACTTCATTGCATCCAATTTTCTGCTTATTATCTTTTAGTCTTCTTTGTACTCTGCATTCACAACATTGCGCACTCTGCATTCTCCTGTATTACAAAAATATTTTTACGGTTAAATTGATTACATATTTGATGATATATATGGTATATATAATATAATTATAAAAGATTCCAAAAGTTTCAGAACTCAGAGTACGCGGATGATACACATACGATTATTTGAAATCACTAAACAGTAGAAATGCAGACTATCATCAGTATTGATTAAAGCATAAACCACGTAAATTAGATATCATTAGATTAGATTGAATATCTATATATATGAGAGTTATTTTAGAGAATAAAGTTAAGTGTTATGGTACTTAGATAGTATTTTTGCAAAATTATAATAGCCTAGGTTTTTCTACAAAAGCAGAACTTGACTTGCTATTAACTCTTTAGTAAAACAACTTGAAGAAGAAATGTGAGAAGAGAATAAATGTTTTCGTTTTCTACAACGAATAGTATTTAAATTTTATTTTAAATTATATTTCTTTTTATCTTTTATTAATTTTTTATTGTTGCAAGTTGGAAAAAGTATAATATTTACAAAAAATTCGAATATTACTGTTATCATAACAATACGAAATTTCGACACATTTTATTTTTTTTATTTTTATTGTACATTTATAAATACATATTCTCTAAAATTCTAGTTAAATCATTAAAAAAAAAAACAAACATTTTGGCACATCCTAAGATATTTATATTTTATAGTATATTAGTAAACCTAAACTAGAAATTAAATAATATAGCCAAAAAAAAAAAAAAGTATAATTAAATCAAAAATATTTTAGTAAAATTGTAGTATATCTTTGTTCAGCAACATATTTAGTCTATTTTTGCTGAATTTTTATAACAAAATGTAGTTTTTTTATGGCTTAAAAAATTCTTAAATTGAGTATAAAAAGATCCATATTGCAAAAAAATTTTTATTTTTACATATATATATACGCGTACATATGTATATGTATTATTAGATCAATTTTGGGGATTATTGTATTAGTTTTTTAAAATATGATATCCGGGAAAACGATAAAAATTAAAACACAAGCAAACATAATATTAGAAAAGCATTTATTTAATTTGTCCTCTTTCGTAGTACTCTTATTTTAGTTATACATATGTATATTTGTATAATATATTATACAAATGAAATTATAATAGAATATTTTCCAAAATAATAAACACTCTTAGAAATTTTTGTATGTACTTACATCGTATTTGTTTTTAAAGTGAATAATATAAAAATATTTTTCTATATTAAACTTATGGAGGTAAAGAAAAGAAAAAAACCTAAAATTTTTGTAGAAACTAAATTAGCATTTTTTAATTAGTAAAATTTAAGCTACGTTAAAAAATTTGATTTTAGAAAGAATTATGCATTTATAATATAGGAGTAAAAAAAAATTTTTTTTTTTTGTTTGAATTACATATGGTATGTATCTATTATTCAAGAAATTTGTTTTATAATCCAAAATGTTGCAAATTTGTTACAAAAAAATTAATAAATGTACATATGCACATATGTATATTGTTAAAACTTATTTTACATTATGTACTCAGCAAGGACATCTCAGAAATTTTTTTAAAAGTACTCGTAAATTTTTAAACAAACCGTAATATAAACTGGGTTGGCAAACTTTTTCGGATTGTGGGCTATTTTCAAAATAATTTTTTTTTTTTTTGGCGGGCCGCCCTGAAATTATGCTACACTTGCTGAATGAACCATCGTATTCCCTGAGAAATTTCCATAGAAATAGGTTTTTCATTCCCCATCAGTTAGCATATAGTTCTGTCATGCTTACTCTCTAAGCATGACATGTTAATTTTTCCTAAAATAACATTGATGCTTTGACGGGCCGTGCAAAAAGGAATTACACGTTGCGGAGCCATGTGCTTATAAGTAGTAAAATAATGAGATTCAGCAAAAAGATCTTAATTGAAAAATTTAGAAACAGTCATTGAGAATATCAAATTTGTTTCGAATTCAGAATTCAAAGTTTCACTAAAAATGACAATTTTCATTTTAATACTAACTATACCTATATTTAAATAAAATTTGGTTCCATATTGTAAAAATGTATTTCAAGAAAAAATTAATACTCGTATTCCTCTTTCAAACTCAATTTTTTGTTTTTAATATTAAATGAATTTTGTTAATGTTAGATAATATATAATAAATATTTTAAAACATTTATGGTGTTATGTTTTTTTTTTAGGTTTCTACATAATTACATAATATATTAATATTTAAATATATTAAGTACAACATTCCCCCTATCTCTTAATGTTAAATTTTCTGTCCAAGTGGTTTATTATACATTTCTATAACATTTTCACCATAATGTCATGTGTCTTTGTATTCTAATTTTGTTTAATATATAAAATTTTCTCTTTATTGCATTATCGTTAAAAATGTATATTTTAAATGTAAACTCCCATTATATAAGTTCATAAAATTATATATATATATATATAACATTAGATAAAAAATTAAAATATATAATGTAATGTTTTAATTTTTAAAATTATTTAAAATAAATGTATAGAATAAAATAACAACTAAATTAAATGAAATTTTATAAATTGTAAAAAAAAAATTAATTTTATAATTTCGATAAAAATATTTTGTTTTATTATTATAATTGAAATTTCTTATAAAAATTTATTTTTGGCTTATTTTATATTGTTTATTTATATAATTTATTTTTAGTTTAATTTATGTTTTGGTAATCTGTCTCTTTAATAATATAGTCTATTATTTAAAATTCATATGAATTGAAAAAGGAAGAGACCCATACATTCGTTGATATAAGTATAAGTTGGTCTTTTGATGAAAATCTAGAATATATAGATAAAATTTTCAATACAATATGATTTTTATTAAAAAAAAAATATATTTTATCTTAGGTCTTTACTACTTTTATAATCAACACATCATGTATATACATATATATTCGAATTATTCAATTTTATATACATAGTTCTCAAGCATAAAATATAATAAAAAATATTTGATAGCTGTTATTTATATTAATATTATATATTATATAAAATTATTTTCATGAGAATATGATTATGGCGATTGTCCCTATATCCTATTCTTAAATTGAACAAGCCGAAGAAACTAAACATTCAAAATACATACGTATGTTTAATTATGCAAATGTGAAAAAAGTTTTTTTTAACTTAGTTCAATTTACTAAATGAAAATAATTATTATTGCCAATCACAATAAGCAGGACAATTTAAACTAATATTTATATATACTCGCAACAGATATTAAATTAATATTTATATACATATATCCAAATATATATATAGATATGTGTATTGTTATATAAATCTATATCTGTATATATTTCTATATAAATATATCTATGTATGTATATATACAAATGTGTAATTTATCTAAAATTATTATAATTGTTTTATATAATTGTTTACTATATACCCTCATTCCATATAAGTTAGAGTGAACTGAATGCTCACTCTCATAGTGTAATATTATTTCAATAATTTTAGAATAAAAATGAATTAATTATATATAATCATATTTCATTTAAAACCAGAACATCAAAAAAAATGTTTTAATTTTTCTCAAAAAAAAAATAACTTGAAAACACTAATAATAATTATGAATAGTTAGAATACTAATTTAGTTACGTATACTTAGTTATAATTTTTGATTTGAAAAGAAATCTATAAAAATTTCATGGCATCGATAGTTTTTCTTAACATAGTTGATTATGTGTTTGGGAATTTGCTAAACCCGAAATTGCAATTTTAAAATATTGCGATTCGCCTAAAGCAATTTTATTTTCATTATTAACTAAAATGCACCAAAAAAGAAAGGTGCTATCAGGTTTTAGTAAATTTCCATAAACTGTACATTATATATATATATGTATGTATATATATATGTATGTATATTTGTATATATATATATATATATATATATATATATATATATATATATATATATATATTATAGATATATGTAATTATCTATAATATATATATAGTATTATATATTATAGATATATGTAAATATATATTTTTTTAATATATAAAAAGTGATTTATTTGAATTGCTTTAATTTCTTTAGTGAAAGTATTATAAATGTTATATGCAAAAGAAATAGAACTGTTGGGAGAAGAAATTGTAAAAAATTTAACTTATATTTATTTAATTTATGATCACCTTATTTATTATAATTATATACCTGATCATATAGTTTGTTAGTATTCGCTATAATTTGATATACACACATTAGTGACAATTCGTAAATAAAACTGTTATGTATTAGAGATAAAATAAATATCATATATATATATGTATATATATATTGACAGGGTATTTAATTCATTTTTTACAAATATTAACCTCTAATTATAAATTAAGTAAGAAAATTAGTGTTTTTCATATAGGTACCTTTTGAACTTCTATATTTTATTTGTAAAAATTATTATTATTGAAAATTCAAACAATATAAGTATATATATTTGTATATTTTAGGGAATTAATACTTGTAAATATCATTTATAATTACGCTTGATATGAATACAGATTTTTAATTGAATAACAAATTAACTGGAATATCAAATTTAAATTGCAATCATCGAATCAAAATCACTGACCTCCCGTGTGTAATATTTTGATTTATATAGAATCTTACAGATATTATTTTATTTGAGAAAGGAATTCATGTTACCAAACCATTTCTGAGTGTTTTTTCTATAATTAGCTTTCATTCGTCAGCTTGATTACCTTTAGAGGTAGACGTTATTTTTAAAGATAGTACTTCTACCATATCTGGCCACCTTATTTCGTTCAATCCAAGTATGTATTCTTATTTTATATCACTCCATTTCTTTCTCGAATTCATAATAATTATTTTTTACAGTCTTCTAAAAAGAAATAAAATAAATAATATTATTCGAATAGGATTTCTGTATTTGTCTAACAAAAATTTAACATGATTTAAAAATTCCGATTTGTTTTTGTAGTTTTTTAGTCAAGTTAACTCTGTATGATTGAAAAATTTAAAATATCATCTTATAAAGTTCGTTAACTCTTTTTCGTAATCAAACAATATAGTTACATCGGCGAATTGCTTACATACACCTTTATTAAATACTAATAGTAATATACATAATTGATTAAATTGATTATTATTTAAAAACGCATATCTGCATATATATAATATATATATATATATATATATATATATATATATCATACCTGTATAAATATATATATATATTTATATATATATATATATATATATATATATTATATATATAAATATATATTCAATATATACGTAATACATATTATTAAACCATACATAATAAAATTAATTATCATGTTTCGTTAAGTGTATACTTTAAAAAAAAAATATATATATATTATTTAATTTTTAATTAAATACCGTATATATACTTAATTGAAATATAATGAAACTTAATAAGTTTTCAGAAATTGTTAAAAAAAAATATATAACGTATTATTTAGAATGGATTAGGACAAATTTGAAATCGGTTCTTTATAGATTTTTAATTTTAATTTTGTAACAAATCGTTTTTCTTCTTTTATATAGTAAGTACTTATTGGTATGCCATATATATATATATATATATATATATATCTATAATAATAATTTACGTTAAATTAAAACGTAACTCTGTATAACTTAATTGTAGAAAACTTTTAAAAAAATTGACTTGTTACCCTATAAACATTAAAATAACGAAAAGAACATCAACTGGCTCCTTTTATTTTTTTTTTTTGAGTATTAATTACATTTGAAATATATATATATAGAGTTTAAAAGAAAAGCTGTTGTTAGATTAGAAATTTTTTATAAGAAATATAATTTCTACAATATTTGTATACGATAGTTAAATTATCTAGTTGAAATTTTTATATATTAAAAGAATATATTCACTTATTTTAATGATAGGTTATATATAAAATTTACTTTTTTAATATAATTAATATATTTTTTACAGTAAATTAAATTAAATTAAATTAAAAAAAAATTAAAATATTAAATTATAAGTAATTTTTTATTTTTTAATTTTTTTTAGAGTATTTACTAGAAAAATATAATCAAATATAATTTTTTAGAATAATTATTTAATTTGTTTTATTTTTCAATATTTAGAAATTTGCTTTATTATTTTTGTTTTTATATAAAAATTGAATCAAATAGTTTAATTAAAAATTTTTCTTTGCTTTTTTTTTGATAAACAAACAAAAAAAAAATTATAGAGAAGCCGCGGTTTTGGTTTTATAACATTTCAAGAGCCTAACAGTGTTGATAAAGTATTGAAAATTCCGGTACATACATTAGATGGAAAAAAGATTGATCCGAAACATGCAACACCGAAAAATCGACCAAAACCGGCTAATAAAACCAAAAAAATTTTTGTTGGCGGTGTTAGTCAAGATACATCAGCTGAAGAAGTCAAAGCATATTTTGGACAATTTGGTAAAGTTGAAGAAACTGTAATGTTAATGGACACACAAACGAAACGTCATCGTGGTTTTGGTTTTGTTACATTTGAGAATGAAGATATTGTAGATCGTGTATGCGAAATACATTTTCATACAATAAAAAACAAAAAAGTTGAATGCAAGAAAGCTCAACCTAAAGAAGCTGTAACACCAACAGCACAACTCCTACAGAAACGTTTAATGTTGGGTAGTTTAGCAGCTGGTGTACGCATGACAACACCAGGACAATTGATTGGTACTCCAGGTACAGTAACAACAATAAACCCTTTGTTAGCATCTCAATTTCAAGCACAGCAAGCAGCAACTGCAGTATTACCACATCCATATTCTAATGCTGCAGCTGCAGCCGCAGCCGCTGCCCAACAATCAGCTTTATTTCAATCAACAACACCATTTCAAATACAAAATCCAAATGCTGCAGCCGCTGCTGCAGCTGCAACTCCAAGTTACAGCAAATTATTAACATATCCACCAGCAGCAACATTGCATAACGTTAGGTATGTGCATTTGAACAAAATTTAATACATATAAAATTACATGTTATACGTGTATGTACGTAATTATTGAATTTTTTAATGATATCTTCTTTGTAGGTACACACCATATCCACTTCCAACAAGTGCAGCAGCCGCAGCAGCAGCAGCTGCTGCCGCAGCAAATCAAGCTAATCAACAACATCAACACCAACAACAAGCTGCTGCTGCTGCCGCTGCTGGACTAGCAGCCGCAATGCCACAAACAGCTGCTCAAACTGCTGCTCAAGTAACTGGTCAACAACAAGCAAATGCTGCTGCAAATCATCCTTCAGGAATCGCTGTACAACAAGCGGCAACATTAGCAGCCGGTGCAGGTGCTCCAGTTGGTACAAATCCATATCAAAGTTATGCTTTAGCAAATGTAGATATGTCTAGTTTCCAGGGTGTTGATTGGACATCCGTATATCCAATGGGAATGTATGTTGGGTAAACATATTTATAAAATGTTCTAGTTTGTATGTAAATATCAAAGTATATATTCATAAAAATATAAATTAATTTGTATTTTTTAAGTTAAAATTATAAAGTTAAAAAAAAACCAAAAAAAAAAAAATTTATAGTTTAAGTAAAATTTAAATACATAGGCAAAAGAATAGAGAATAAAATATTTTCGAAATCACTGAAGTTCATAACTCTTCATAAAATTAATTTAAAAATTATTAAATAGAAAAGAAATATAAATAAAATAATTACATAATGTATAAAAATTGAAAGTTTGACAGGAATTCTTCAGTACTTACATAAAAAATAAATTTACTTTCATTTGTTTTATAATAATTTTCCTTCCAACCAATTTTTTTAATTGAAAATGTCTCGAATTATTTACAAAGATCTTTTAAATAGTACTTAAATCGTGATAATTAATATACGAATAACATTTTCAAATATATTGTTTGAATTTCGAACTTAATGCATAATTCAAGAAGTATTATTATTGTTTTTCCGTAATCAACACAAAAAAATATTACTTGTTCTATAAAATAGTCAATTACAAAAAAAAAACTCAAATTTAAAGCTAATTGTTGTTTAATGTTAATATAAAAATTTCGCTAATTCAGTTTTAAAAATGGAATACTAAAATCCAAAAAAAGAATTACTATGGAAGTGAAAATTTTTGAAGAACAAAACCAAAAAAACCAAACACAGAAAAGAATAAAAAACAGTAAAAAGGACTTTAAAAAAAATTATATATTCAAACAATAAGATAATTAGCTAAAAATAAGTTTAGACCACCGATTGTGATGCGAATGAAAATTAAGAAAAAAAATAAATAAAAAACTTAATCTAAAATATTTAAAAACAAAAAATGGTTCAGTTGTCGTTAAAAATATAATAATTATAAAATTAATTATAAAAGTTTTAAAATTTTTTTTTTTAATATTAAGATATAAATTAAAATAAAGAAAAAAAAAGACGTTCAATCGTTAATGTAAAGTAATACTACTTGATAATAATTAGTTCATAAACTATTATTAGTTATAACAAATATTAGTTTATATAACAAAATCATATACATTATTAAATTACACAATACAAAATATAAAAAACATGCCATCAGACTGACTGTAAAAAAGTATAATTCTTGATATACACATATATCACTATAATAATAATAGAAATACGTATATATTATAAAAGAAAATATATAAGAAATATTTCATTGTATCAATAATTTTGCATAAAGTAAATAATAAATTAATGAAGAATAACAAAACTGAATGAAAATTTCTATAAAATTGGAAATTTTTTTTTTCAAACATTATTTATTTGTTTACATTTCCTATGTTTCAAAACCAAAAAAAAAAAAAAAAACAAAAAAAAAAAAAGAGAAATAAAAATTAAAAAATAATTAAAAAATACATAATACAAATTAGTTATCAATTAATTTTAAAAGAAATAAAATCAAATTAAAATTAATATAATATTATACATATATCATTGATGTAGTATAGTCACTAGATTATAAATAATATATTGATACAAAATTAATATTCTATAAAAAATATAGATTTTTTTCAGTTTGAATTTGATTATTTTCAAATAAGAAATCGAAAAAAAAGGAAAAAAAATTTAAACAATAGAAATATTTTAAAGTATAACTATACGGTTTTTCATAATAAAAAATTATTTATGGATCTCTGTTATATAATATAATATAGATAAAACGAGTTAAAATACAACGTGTCATAGAATTAAATTTAAAAAAAATTTTCATTTTTAATTTCAACCTCAACTCAAAAAATAATCAAATTTAAAGTGAAAATTTTGTATATATAATAATATGCTCTATATATCAATTAATGAGAAAAAGCAAATTAATATAAAAAAAAATAAACAATAGAAAAAAATATGAACAACAAAGAATCAAATATAAATTTTATGTTTTATAACATATATAGTTTATATTTAACACATTTGTAATTCTCAATTCAGTACATTTAAATTAAATTAAAAATACATAAATAAATTACAAAAAAAAAAAAAACAAATAAGCAAAAAAAAAATTGAAAAAAAAAAGAATTACTTATCAATACTAAATTTTTTTCTGAATAAAATATATAATTTTATTTTACAATACAATTTTACAAGAAGAGTTTTTCTCATTTATTTCATAAATGCTATATATATACATAAATTACTAATAAAATCATATAAAATTATTAGATTATTTTGTGTAATTTAAATATTTTAGTTTTAGAAGTTTTACATTTAGATAAAAAAGTATATATATATATATATAATTTTATTTTAACTATAATTACATATTTTGGTTTTTCTATTTCATTATACATTAATTTACATAATTTTTTAATCATTTAATCAGTAAATATATTTATATATTGTATAATTTTCTTGTATATTTCAATAAATAATTAACTAACTTTAGAGAAATATTATAATATTGCAAAAAAAAAAAAAAAAACAATATAAAAGAAATTAAAGTAAAATTTCTTTAGCTAGATTACATAATATATAATTTCGAAGCAGTTTTTTTTTGATTAAGCAAATTTATACAAACGAACTATTTGTGCAAGTATATTTAAAATTTACATACCAAATAAGTTTATCACCATATATTGTGCCGCGTGAAGCCAATAATTAAATAATTTGAATGCTTTCAATAATATAAAAATAAACTTTATAAAATAATTAAAATTTCTTGAATTGAATATACAGTTCATTTGAATATATAATTGATTTCTGAATTAATCTCCTACCAACAAACGATAAATATATTATTTCAAATATATTTTCTAATTTTATTAAATATTAAATTAAATATTTTAATGTAATTTTTGTTTTCCTTTGAAAAAACATTTAATTTCTTTTAATATTTAATTTTATATTTATAATGTTCGCACACAATTCATATTCAACTGTGAATAAATAATTTGAATAACATTATTTTGTTTATTTTAAATTATTAACTCCTTTTTAATTAATGCAGCAATAAAAATAAATGCATATTTAAAATTAATTTATTAATATAAATACTACTGTAATACTTAATTATATTTTATGTAATCAATCTATAATTATGAAATTACTTTTATTAATTATCAATATATTGCGAATGAATAACAAAATAATAGAATAGAATAATTTAGAATTGTTATTTTACAATTTACTCATTTTAGTTAGAAAAACAAAATAGGTGTAGATTTTATATGTTGTAATTTTTTTTTTTTTTAGTTTTTAAGTGTATTTTTTAATTTTAACTTAAAAATTTAACATTTTTTTTTTTTCGATTAAATCATAAAGCATTATTATTTTTCAGCGCAACAAGAAGATATCATTTGCTAACACAACAGCATCAACCACAACAACGAAATTAAAAAGTTGTTTTTTGTTTTTTTAAGATGACTATAAAAATACGAAAATAGAAATTTAAAGAAAAAAAAATTTTAACACAAGCCACTACTATTATTACTTGCTACTACTATTTTTTACTACTTTTACCATTTCATTGCTAAACTATACAATCTTCTACAATAATTGAAGTTTAAATTGTAGTTAAAGTGTATAACGCAAAATTGTTACTGGATTTTTGTTTAATTTTTTCTTTCTTTTTATTATTTTTTTTTTTGTTTGTCTAACAAAATAAATAATTTTTTCAATTATTGCTTTACTAACTAACAATAACTAAAATTAATTTTAAGTTTATGAATGAATAAAAAAAAAAAACTTGCCTTTCACATTAATTTTTGTATATAATTATGTTTAATATTTTTTGAATTTGATTTAAAAACATTTTTTTTTTAAATCTTTTTAAATTTATTCATATATTTTTATTTCATTTGTAGTATACATAAGTTTCATCAGTTTTTGTTTCAAGCTTACAAAATATTAAAATAAAAAAAAAATTAAGAGAATAACAATAAAATAACATGGAAATCATGAAAATTATTTAATTGTTTCCATATCATTTCATATTATCATTTATAATTTTAATTTTTTCAGTTTAATTTTAAAAATTTCAATAAACTATTTTCTTCTTTAGTCAAATCTTACTCCTGCAATAATTAAAATCAATTATTTCTTTTTCAATACAGAGTTCTAATAATTATTTTTTGATTTATTTGTCTTCATCATTACTTTAAGTAAGCAATGTCCTTTTAACTAATAACAGTATTGAATATTTTCATTTTTTACTGTCCTTTTATTTTTAAAAACCATCAGACATTCCTTTTTACCATATTCTTACATTTTGGATTTATTTCAATAAAATTCTTCAAAAATAAATTAAAAAATTTTAATTGCATACGTCTAAAACTAATTACAAAAATATTCTCATCGATTCTTACGCTATAATATTTTATAACATTTATTTGAAATTAATAAATTTTAATTAATTCGAAATAAAGAACACACTAAGCATAAAATTTATTAAAACATATATTTTTTTCAATTAAAATCTAAATAAATTATATCGCAAAATAATAAAATGTAATTAAAAAACATTTTAAAATTCATTTTATTTCATATTTCAATAAAATCATAAAATATTTTATAAAAATTTATGTGATATAATATGATTTTAATATTTGATTTTAAATATTTAATCTAATAGAGTTCTATCTAACAAAAAAATTTTCTAAAAAATAATATTTCTACTTTAAAAAATCGAACAAGGCCATTTTGAATTATTAAATATTTTTTTGGGTTTATGTTATAATCAAAGAAGCATCTGTGAAATAAATAAATTGTAAATTCTTTGATTTCCTTAAGGTTTTCTTTTTCTATTTTTTTGCAATTTTAAAATAAGTAAAAATAAAATATTATTTTTTATTTATATTATGCACATTAAAATTTCATAAATAACAAAGTTTTATTTTGGAATATAATGAATTCGAAAAATTTAATAATTTCGAATAATAAAAAAATTATTATAAAATTTATATAAACCAAACATTTTTACAACCTAAATGCAAATTTTTTTTTTTGTTATTTATATTCTATCATTTAATTAACAATAATTAATTATTTAAATTATAAAAATTCATTTTTTAACTCTTCTTTTTAGTTTAGTTTATTTAGTAAACATTTTAAAGTATTATTAATTTTATAAACAAATTAGATGTTGGAATTTTCATTTAAATTTTAATTTCATATTTTAAATTTAAGTTTCATTTTAGAATTTGTATTAAATATGCTATTTTTAATTTTTCTAGTTTTAATTAAGTATTATGAAATATGATGTAAATCAATTTTACTCATTTCAATTTTAGAAATTCATTTCATTAAAAATATTTTTTAAACACATTAAGTATAATTTTTTTTTAATTATAGTTTTTTAATTTTATAATATTAATTTTTTTTTGTGTAACGCATAGGAATTTTCTCATTATATTTGTACTGATGTATAATTTTTGATTTTTTTCTTTTAATTTAGTTTATTTTCATGTAAAATTCAGCATGTAGAACAAAATGATTAATATTACTTATAATTTTTATAAAAAATAGAATATCATACTTATTTTTATGTATATATAAATAAGAAATGAAAATTATTTTTTTTGGAAAATTTTCATTTATTTCAAAAGCGAAATAAAGTTTTATTTTTTTTATCTTAATTTTTGTACTTTTTTGTAGTTGTTTTCTTTATTTTCTAGATTTTTTTTTTAGTAAAACAAAAACAACTTATTTTATTATTTAAATTTTTATATTTTACTTTTAGATTGTTATGTATATCCTTTTGATTTGTACATATTATATAATTTGATTTTTTTTTTAGTTTAATATTGTTTCGTCTAATATTCTTTCATATTATGATATAATATGAAAAATTTCATAAATATTAAATTAAATAATTGACAAAGAAGGAGAAATGCAAAATGGATTTTGTATGTATTGTTTTTTGCTTTTAAATATTCAAAAATCGTACTGAATCACATTATTATCTCAATTTAAAATTTATCAAATCCTTTACATTCATTTACAAATAACAAAAAATTGAGTGGAAATTTAGAAATATAAGTTAGAAAATAAAAAAATATAATTTCTACTAAAACTTTTTCGGGTTTTTTTTTATAGAAATAGGTGCAACACCTTTTAGTATTTCTTAAAAAATTGAAATATTAAAATATTATAGGGTCGGTTTTTATTTAATATTTTAAGTTCATAAGAATTTGAAGACGATATTCTACATGTAAACATTATAAAAAATTTAAAAAAACAATTGAGTTATAAGATATGAACATCTATTCTCTATTGCAAGTGAATTAATTTT